TAAATCGAGGAATGATGTTCCTTATAAACGGAGTATATGTCTTAGAACAGGATCATTTCTGAGGAAGTGGAGTTCGGAGTATACAATACAAAAATTTGTTTGAGCTTTTATTTTGTAATACAATATTTGAGATATAGAGTATTATCTTAAACATGTCGCAACCTGAAAGAAACAAGGCAAGTTAGTAGTATAGAATTAGAAGATTATTATTATATTTAATTTATGAGGCTGTCAAAGTGGTTTCATTGGAAGTCGTTGCTCTGAATATCGGACATATTGAATGATGCACGTACTATGTTCTGCGGCTGTCTCTTATACACATCTAGATGTGTATAAGAGACAGGTCCTACACTGAGTTAGTACATAATTTGCATGCATAAATCGCGGAGAATGCTATCTTGTTGCTATAAGATCTTTGACGTATTCCCATATATAAAGGGAGGGCCTTTACTATTATCAAGTGCTATTTGGTTTCTCATGGGCTATATTGGTTGGTCTTTTCTCTTTATTTTATTTATTTTTTTTTTTCAATGTTTGTTTTTTTAATGTAATGTTTTGTATGCCAAAACTATATAAAAAATACATAAATATATATACAGTATAGTCTGATGTGCCTATATACAGTATGGTCATGATGTGAAGAAGAGAGCACCTTAGCTCAGTTGGCTATACTGGTGGTAGCTACTGTGTGTACGCTGAACCATGGAGATCTCTTGGTCTCTGGTTCAATTCCCATCGCTGCTCTTGTATTTTAGTATGGAGGGTTGAAAGTTACGATAGCATCGTCTTTCAGATGAGACGTTTAAGCCATTGGTCTCGTGTGCATTGTGGCCCATGAGCATGTTAAAGAACGCATTATATGTACACTCTTCAGAAAAGAGTTGGGGATTGTCTCCCGGTGTACTGCCCAATCACCACCAGAAGGGCCCCAAATAATTATTCTTCAGACTTTCGTGGGTTATCCAATCCAAAATCCAATCATGACCATATTTAGGCATGTCACATGTTCTATTCAAATAAAATTTCATAGTCTGCGCAGGGCTTTAGGTGTACCACTACTTATATGTTACTTAATTTGTTTAGTTCGATAACACTTTCGCATCAGCACAAAATAACTCACTTAATGTTTGCCAATTAAAGTGTTAGGCCAGCGTTAACAACTCAGAGCAGAATAAATCAGAAATTGCTTCATTAAAATTAATGCCTGTCTCTTATACACATCTAGATGTGTATAAGAGACAGGCACACACATTGTGCGGGCCTCGTTATGATTGGTAAAAGCAACAAATTTCCAAAAGTATACGTCTTGCGGCAAACTTTATGACTGAGAACTGGTAGGTTTGTGGCTATGATTTTCACTATTTTTTGTCGGAGAAATCTGTCTTGTCAATCAAATGCCGATAAAAGTGTTTGAAAGCAAACTGCATGTCAAGTTGCCAAAAGTCTGTCGGCGAAACGGCATTCGGCGGCGCCGACGCTAGCGACCGCCGGTGGTCAAGAGATTGTATAGACTCACTTGTCCAGTCGTCACTGGCCACACAGCAGAAATGAGAAGCTGCCTAGCCTTGGCCTCCCTATCTTTGCTTAAATGATGGAGCCTCTCTCGGTCTTGCAAGGAAACGGGTGATGAATCAGTTAATATACTCAAGTTTGTCGAAGTTTTAATAGGATTTAGGCCTATGGTTAGATGGTATTTCTACCTAAGCCAGGCATAGAGGCCTAGGCTATTCTATCTAGCTAGGACCTAAGCCAGTAGTAGTAAGTAGGAGATAGCGGCCTAACTAAAAAGACTACCTACTAAGCCTATGCACTATAAACTAGGCATGGGCCTAGGCCTGTCTCTTATACACATCTATTACATTCACCCGGGCAATTCAAACTAGTCACCAAATTTTCAGTCACCAAACTGTCACCGATAATCCCCTAACCTAACCTTTTGTTTTCAAATTCAATACCCTCATTAATTTAATGGGCAAGAAGATTCTTTTGTGACTGTAAATCCAACTGGCGGACTTATCTCCCTATTGTCTCAATTTTCACTCTCATTGTAACCAATTTCTAAAGAGCACACAATAGTGGACTATAAATTTTAAGGAAACATGACAAACTTAACACGTCACGCTACACATCGCCACTTAATTAATACCACTTTTTGTTTTTAATATTTCAATAAACCCTCATATACCTCCTTCATAAGCTTCAACCCATTAAGTACAAAATGAAATTAATAAAATTATTAATAAATAATTATGAATTATGATGACGTAATATTCTATTGTGCACCTATACCATCATATTAACTACTTTGGGTAAATTCGACCCAGTCATTGGGTATATCAAAAATTGTGAGTGGTCACGCTGCCTACGAGCAGATTACGAGAGGTTACGCGCAGATACGAAGCAGTACTGTAATTCCTGACTGTACTGTAATTTCTATGTTCACGACGGTCGGCTAGCTGTTAGCGTGCCCCAAATGCCCAAGTGCACACAACAGCAGAATTAAAGCAGCCGACTGCCGGGTAAATAATGGCTTTCGAGCTTGGGGGTTTTCACTTGAATGCTTGAATGATTTCAATGTCAATGGCCAGGCCACGATTTTTTTTCCCGTACGAAACATTTGCATGAAACTTCACTCGGGTCATTTAAGTGCATGATAAGTGGCTAAAACAATTTTTAACATTTTAGCCAATTTTGGCTAAACAAATATCCAATTGGCTAAATTTTTTTTTTAGCTTTAGTCAATTGGCTAAACAAAAATGAAAGTTAGAGTGAACCCAGCATTCACTCACCAAACTGTCTACTTATATCATAAAACTGTACAAAATATTTCAAAAAGTTACGTACACAACAAACCTTACAACAACCATATTTCAATTAATACACTGTACACGACATCACACCTTTCCTAACTGTTAAGTGAACATAACAAAAAAAGGTCTATGATGATGCATACAAATAACTCTAACTTTAAATGTTTTTCTTTATGCTCAATACACATAACAACACTCCACACAACCGCCACCCACCGACAGCACTTAAACATTGCCAGCTATTGTCAAGTGGGCTATTGCATCATTGATGCTCTCGTTTTTATAGCTTTAAGCCGATTTCATAAGTTATAACAAATCATTTTTTTTGTACATTTTATCGCACAAAAGGCCGGCCTATAGAGAATAAGCGTACAGTATTTTAAGGATCAACACGGAAATAATAAGATAAAAGTGCCGGAATTTCCATAGTAGAAAAACTAACTACTGAAATAACCGACTGGCAGATTCAACGCTGTTGTTTGTACTCTCAAAGACCATGCTGTAAGTAAACAGTGTCTAGGCATAGTAATATTTTATTATTACAATAGTCTATTAATTTTCACTGTGTCGACTAAACTTACACTCGACCGACTACCAGAAATGTTGGCCTACTATTAGCTTCCACACGCTTTCATCTCATCCACAAGCACGACCACTGCTTTTGTGACTCGCGAGGGAGAAGTCAAACATGCATAATTCATATCATCTGTTCACCTAAATGACTTTAAATAGCGCCCTTTATAATTTCGGCCTTAACTGTATGGAAAAAATAATGCGCCCGGGCCACCTTGAAACCGCCACTGAATACTTACGGAGATGGAGGATAGCCTACCACCTCAGCCCCACGATGGTTGGGGCTTCAAAGGTGAGAAAATTTGTGATTATAGCTCCTCTAGATGACCAGAAATGCACTCTCAGACTTAAAGTCAGACCAGGGAACAGTGTAATTTCACTGTTCCCTGGCCAGACTCCGGAGGAAAAAAAATTGTTGATATGTTGTAGGCCTAGTACTGATTTTTCTAAGGCAGAAAATTTTTTTCTTCCGGAGCCTGACTTTAAAATTTGAATATAATATTCTTTATATCGCCATAAAAAATAAAAAAAATAAAAAATTGGAACAATTTAGGCCCCGCCCTATAAGAATTCGCCACTGATTTTTCCGAACAAAGCCGCGCGCAGTCGAGATTTCTTGCACAATCTCAATACAATACAATACAATGAATTGTTTATCATGAGGGGTAGGCCTATCTGATATGAGTAACCCCGGCAAAACCTTCACTTTTCCCATAATGGATAAAAATTACCCTTCTAGTAGCCCGGGAATGATACTCCAACTGTGGTGGGTCCAGAAAGTCGAAATAGAGGAGACTCAGGGAGGGTCTTGCGCAAATGGAGTGTCCACCCACTTCAGCCCCACAACAGTAGTGGATTTGTGATTATGGCACCTCTAGATGGCCGGAAATGGCACTTTTTCAGATTAAAATTTAATATAATTTTGTCTGTTTTCTTCATTTTTTTAATAATAATTTTGAAAAAAAATAGGAGGTTGGGGGCCCGTGCAGACTTGGCTCCCCCTTGAATCCGCCACTGTTCAATATAACACTTGACATAACCTATCACTTTGTTTCACAAATGACTAATTCCTAATGTCAAGCAGAAGATTTTTTTATTCGAAATATTTTTTTTTTATTCAATACAGTTTTTACAACCTATAACACATTAACCACTGAGGGTACTATATAATAATAATAATAATAATAATAATAATAATAATAATAATAATAATAATAATAATAATAATAATAATAATAATAATAATAATAATAATAATAATAATAATAATAACGATAATAATAATGATATGACATTGCAGCGTTCATAATGTTTGTCACTGGTGTTGGGAACAGTCACAAATGTAGGGGGTGGGGAAGGGATAATTTGCCTATTGGCAACAATATTTTGTCGGCACACACATTGTGCGGGCCTCGTTATGATTGGTAAAAGCAACAAATTTCCAAAAGTATACGTCTTGCGGCAAACTTTATGACTGAGAACTGGTAGGTTTGTGGCTATGATTTTCACTATTTTTTGTCGGAGAAATCTGTCTTGTCAATCAAATGCCGATAAAAGTGTTTGAAAGCAAACTGCATGTCAAGTTGCCAAAAGTCTGTCGGCGAAACGGCATTCGGCGGCGCCGACGCTAGCGACCGCCGGTGGTCAAAAGATTGTATAGACTCACTTGTCCAGTCGTCACTGGCCACACAGCAGAAATGAGAAGCTGCCTAGCCTTGGCCTCCCTATCTTTGCTTAAATGATGGAGCCTCTCTCGGTCTTGCAAGGAAACGGGTGATGAATCAGTTAATATACTCAAGTTTGTCGAAGTTTTAATAGGATTTAGGCCTATGGTTAGATGGTATTTCTACCTAAGCCAGGCATAGAGGCCTAGGCTATTCTATCTAGCTAGGACCTAAGCCAGTAGCAGTAGGAGATAGCGGCCTAACTAAAAAGACTACCTACTAAGCCTATGCACTATAAACTAGGCATAGGCCTAGGCTTGACCTAGGCTAGGCTAGGAAGGGCGGAGGGCTAGCTAGCCTAGGCCTAGTTGTAGTAGGCCTAGCCTAGTAGCGTTTCCGAATGGGGGAGGGGGATACTAATACAACTATCCTAGGCCCGAGCCTACCAACACTCTTCCCACCAACACAACACCAAACTTCAGTAGCTAGCCAGAGAATGTATATAATGAAATAAAATAAGTAAAAGTTAGTACAATAAAAACAACATTCAAGTAGTAGCCTAGGCCCTACATCAAAGTATTTTTTTTTTTTTTTTTATAAATAAAATTTGCAAAAATTGTCTTTGTTTTTTGTGGGAACCCCAAATATATCCACTTACGTAGACTTAATAAAAGTTTCTACTTGTATCTTCAGTTCACCATGTAGCAACTTCTTATGACATTTATCGAGTAAATTAAGGCCAGCCGGAATTGATGGTAACAACAAGATGGAGCGAATGTGCACAAGAAGTCATGCAATCCAACGAGCAATCTTGAGCAGTGTGGACAGGGAGATCAGGAAAGCAGTTGCAACAGGCAATATACACAAGGTTTGTTGTTAACCTTTGTCCAATTTTTCGTTGACAAAAAGGTGAACGTATTCCAATTATCTTATAATAACAAGATAGCGTTCTCCATGGTTTGCATAGTAACAAATTATAATAGAAGCGTCCAATTCACGCAGAAAACAATAAAAAGTAATTGTAACTGAGAGAGGGCTTCCTAGTTGTTACTATGGCAGTTGTTCAAGAATTTGCACGGTGATCATAGAATGTAAAAGTTCAAAAGTAATTGTAATTGCAAGAGGGCGTCCTACACTGAGTTAGTACATAATTTGCATGCATAAATCGCGGAGAATGCTATCTTGTTGCTATAAGATCTTTGACGTATTCCCATATATAAAGGGAGGGCCTTTACCAAGTGCTATTTGGTTTCTCATGGGCTATATTGGTTGGTCTTTTCTCTTTATTTTATTTATTTTTTTTTTTCAATGTTTGTTTTTTTAATGTAATGTTTTGTATGCCAAAACTATATAAAAAATACATAAATATATATACAGTATAGTCTGATGTGCCTATATACAGTATGGTCATGATGTGAAGAAGAGAGCACCTTAGCTCAGTTGGCTATACTGGTGGTAGCTACTGTGTGTACGCTGAACCATGGAGATCTCTTGGTCTCTGGTTCAATTCCCATCGCTGCTCTTGTATTTTAGTATGGAGGGTTGAAAGTTACGATAGCATCGTCTTTCAGATGAGACGTTTAAGCCATTGGTCTCGTGTGCATTGTGGCCCATGAGCATGTTAAAGAACGCATTATATGTACACTCTTCAGAAAAGAGTTGGGGATTGTCTCCCGGTGTACTGCCCAATCACCACCAGAAGGGCCCCAAATAATTATTCTTCAGACTTTCGTAGGTTATCCAATCCAAAATCCAATCATGACCATATTTAGGCATGTCACATGTTTTATTCAAATAAAATTTCATAGTCTGCGCAGGGCTTTAGGTGTACCAATACTTATATGTTACTTAATTTGTTTAGTTCGATAACACTTTCGCATTAGCACAAAATAACTCACTTAATGTTTGCCAATTAAAGTGTTAGGCCAGCGTTAACAACTCAGAGCAGAATAAATCAGAAATTGCTTCATTAAAATTAATGCTTTTAGTAAAATGGTATGATGATAATTAATTGTGTCTATCTATGCTTGAAAAGGGAAATTTTTTTTTTTTTTTTTTTATTTTAAAATAAATTACAACAGTATTACTTTTAAAACTTTTAATGATTATCCTACATAAAACTTTTTTCTGTGCTGGTGGTGGATGGTGCAGTGCTGTCCTGGAGGCCCTATCCTAAAATCTGGCTATGCTGCTTCTCTTTCTGAAATCCAGTATATTACTAGGTTTATTGCTATTTATTTACTCAACAGGTGCAGATGTTATTGTTAGAGGGCTCTTCTCCTAATACTGTTGACTCAAATGGCTGGACGTTACTACACTTAGCGGCATCAAGGGGAACTGATCGCGTTCTAAGAATCTTATTACAATATGGAGGTAAATGTCATAACTATTTTTGTCTTATACTAAACAAAAATGTTTCTTTTCTTATACTAAACAAAAATGTTTTATAACCACATAGGAGTGGAGTTGAATAACTTGGTGGTTAAGATGCTTGCTTTCCAATCCCAGGGTCCTAGGTTCAATTCCCGTCACGGTAACATGATTTTTTTTTCTCACAACCAAAAACAACTCCACTCCCTAAGCCTCATAATGAGACTTAGTTTATGTACAGCATCTTGTGTTTATGATTGTCTTGTGAAGGGATATGCCACTTTGAACAGTGATTAAGTTCACTGCTTAGCAATCCTTGGCCTTTGACCTAAAACTAGTTAATAAAAAATAAAAAAACATACATAATGGAACATTCCACTAAGCCCCACCCCTTGGATATTGTTGCTAAGGTCCCGAAAAATGACTAAAAAAAACATACTCAATCACATGTGTTTTTTGGGACAGTACATGCGTTTGTTGGACATGCACCCTAGCACTGTGTGATTGGTCAGTTTGATTGACACTCCAGGAAGGTCAATTGCCCAGCTGTCCTATCATTGTTGGAATGAAAACAGCTTAACCAACTAAGCTACAGCTCCCCTTTTTTTATTTATCATAAATGTTTGTCTTACAGGTAATCCTGAAATAAAGGACCGTATTGGAGGATTTACTTGCTTGCACTATGCAGCAATGCATGGGCGTACACGACTCGCCCGTATGCTATTAGAAGTTACCAGAGACAAATTTCACTTCATCGATACCCCAAGTAACGATGGATGGACTTCATTACACGTGGCAGCACATTACGGACGTGATTCATTTGTTAAAACGCTTCTTCATTTCAGAGCTTCAGTTGACCCTTTGAGTACAAAAAGCACAACTCCGTTACAGTTGGCGGTTATTAAACAGAAGCTAAATTGTGTCCGTATATTGATCGGAGCAAAGGCTTGTATTAACGTTCAGTGCGGTTTCCCTCTGCGGTACGCTATTATCAAAGGTTATCATAAAACAGTTGAGTTGCTGCTAAATGAAGGGGCTGACCCTACTATAGGCCGGGAAGAAGACAACCAAACCCCCTTGCATCTAGCTGTAATGCGAGATGAAGTTGATCTGTGTCAGATACTTTATCGATTCGGTGCAGTTTGTTATGTACAGAATGACCTAGGTCAAACACCGCTAACTATTGCCAAAACTAAAATATGTGTGAATGGTCAGCTTATACCCAGGTCATGTCAACCAGTAATAGAAGAGTTTGCAGGTAATTTATTTTTCATTAATAAAATAATGAACACAAAACAGTACTCAATGTTATTCTATATTTAGTAGATTTATTTATGACCTTTCAGAGCATCAATTGCTAAGTCAGGCACTCACTGCGGCCGACGCGATTTTATGTACAACGCAACGCCATAATGTGCGCGCAACAGATCTTTTTTAATGAGGATCCGTTCAGACTGTAACCTACAATCAGCAGATGGCATTGTGTCGTCTGGCGCTCACAGGTAGCAGAGTTAAATTTGTTGTACGACATTCGTACAACCGTTCGTTGTACAACACAATGTTTTCCCGATTAAATTCCGGTAAATATATTGCTTTGCCATGATGCATACAATTAAACAAATTTCCATACAATTAAACAAATTTCCAAGTATTTAATTTTCTGCTTTAAATGAGTTGGATTTTGTATGTTGGATGATGTAAAAGTTTTCAAATCGCTAAAATACTGTAGCTCTTGCACTTGACTGAATTTTAATTTCACAAAAGAATATCTCAACTTCGTGCAAACTCTACTCGGGTTATGAAATGATTATATTTCACTGGTATAAATATTCATTTTTTATGCAATTCTTATAAATATTATCCCAAAATTATATAATACTGTACTGTAAAATTTATTGCTGCGAAGCAGCCAATTCATATTCTTGACAGCAATTTGACCTCTGAAAGGTCATTGTTTGTCAAAAATCAATCGCCTGAGACAACCGGAAAGCAGAGTTTCCTTCTTTCGTTCTGCCGCGTAAAATCAATTACTTTAGGCGACGTTTGTAGACTAACCTACTCGTACCAACGTCCACATGTTGCGACGCTGGAGTACTATTCAGCGTTTTTACTATATTTCTAGGTTTCCTATTTCTACGTTTAATCGGCTCATGTCTCAGCCACAATATTTTGAGGACAATATTATTTATGAACCTAGTTAAACTTATTTACTAGCCTATTTCAACGTGCTAATTATTACATTTAGGCGACGCTTGTTGTAGACTGGCATAGTGTTTGCGGAAATAAATACCATTTTATACACATGCGCAGATCGATTCGCCAGCAGTGAGTCATCACCAGCAGCAGCGAGCCATCGCCAGCAGAGAGATGTCACTGCAGCAAAACACTATTGTTCTAATAATATATAGACAATGGGTCGTGCTCATATTATTTTTTATATTTTTATTATTCATTATTTTCACTTGACTCGCATAAATAATTTTGTTCGAAGAACATTTTATGCAGTTGTACTTAGCAGCACTTCACTTGCAATTTGCAATTTCTAGTATAAATAATTATTTTATTTTCTCTAACAGGAAACCCAAGATCTTTGCAGGACCTATGTCGGTTTGTTATCAGAGCAAATGTGTTCCGCCTGAGTGAACTATATCAACTGCCACTTTCAACATGTATGATCAACTATCTGAAATACAAATTTGATTGGTGATCACCTTAACTAATTTGCATAATCTGTAGTTTGTGAGGTTTTTTGGGATGCAGAAAGATGGTACCAAAGAAGATCAATGTATTTTGAAACTGAAGTCATTGCCAAGTATAAAGATAACATTGTATTGCAAGCCCTGTCCAGACTATCAAATAACATAGATGTGTATAAGAGACAGCCTATATACAGTATGGTCATGATGTGAAGAAGAGAGCACCTTAGCTCAGTTGGCTATACTGGTGGTAGCTACTGTGTGTACGCTGAACCATGGAGATCTCTTGGTCTCTGGTTCAATTCCCATCGCTGCTCTTGTATTTTAGTATGGAGGGTTGAAAGTTACGATAGCATCGTCTTTCAGATGAGACGTTTAAGCCATTGGTCCTGTGTGCATTGTGGCCCATGAGCATGTTAAAGTACGCAGTACATGTACACTCTTTGTATATTGACAATAACATAACCATAAGCTATCTATTATAGAGAATGAAAATACAAATATGTTAACCCTTGGTAGAGGACTGCCACATGCAGAATATTTTCACCATTGTTTTTATGACTATTGGAGTGATATTTTACCCTACCCAACGTTTTATCGTACCAAATACTCAGTACGTTTCCAAAAAAGAAATTATTTGAGTGTAAATCGAACCCACGTCCTCCAGATAAGTAGCCTGGTGCCATAACCACTAGAGTACCAAGCTTGCACTCTGTGGCTATTGTTGAATCCCCAAGTAGCAGAGGGTACTGAAAATGTTTTCGGTGTGAGTTTGCGTCAGGAAAATATAGTGATGTTTTGCCCTACCCGAATATTCGGTATAGTATACGCTCCCAAGTATTTGGGAGCGTATAAGGTAGGGCAAAACATCACTCCCATGATATTTTCCTGATGCAAAATCACATTGAAATAGTAATTTGAAATACTTAAATACATTGTAGTTATAATTCCTTTATTGATCCTCATCCAACGAGGAAACTGCGAATTTGGGTTGAGAACATGCAGCACCACCTTAACTACAACGTATTAAACCGATGAAAACAAGGCTTGTAACTCTTGTGAGGGCTAGTTGAGGAGATGAGCATTTAGACCTTAAACCTGGATCCTCAACTGTAAGAGGTAGTTTAGCCTTCTTGGTGGAAGGCTCAGCTATATATATTAAAGTACTGTATAGTCATCGGTAGTGGCGTCAACAGGCTGCATTCCTTCTGGGACCCTGATCGAAGCTCTATTTGGGCTCTAGGTTCGGACCCCGCTGTCGGACCCCTCATCGGGTAATTTCCTGAGCCACCACTATTAGTCATGGACATTGGGATTGAATTGATTGGAATAAATAACATTTTTTTTCTGAAAACCCCTATGGATTAATGAGATGATTCCATATTCTATGATCAGGGAAAATGCAACTCTTTTAAGCATTTTTTTTCCTGAAATGAATGCATTTTTACCTATTAAATTGAGTTTAATGTTCCTGCTTGTTTTTTCATGGGGTTAAAATGCTGGCATTGTTTACCACAAAAATGAAAAACAAAAACTCCAAACCTGTTTACCTCCTAGCAAGGCTGTTGTTTATAAAGAATAACATTCTTCCAATATAAATGATGCGTATTAAGAATATAATGGTTATAAAGATTACTAAACATATTAGGAAATGAAGAAATCAACTATTAATTTCTATTTTGGTACAACTAGACATTCCAAAAAAATGTATGATTCATATACCGTAAATGCTTGAATAAGCTCATAATTTTTGGAGGCTTCAGTGCGGCGCTTATGCGGGAGCGGCACTTATTAAAGAGTGGTGCTTATAAAAAAATATTGCCATGGTGCTTTCCAATCCCTGTTCCCATGTTACCTGTCTCACATATTCCCATAGTTCCGTAGGCCTATCATAGGTCCTACGTCATCGTAAATACTTGCGTCTTCATTATGTTATTTATTTATTTTAACACTGTTTTGTACATATTGTATTTAAAAAGCCTGTTTCTTAAAGGTGTTTCATTACACACAGGGTAATATAAAATACTCTCTCGAGCGGCACTTGCCTAAAAAATTAGGTATGGTGCGGTGCTTATTTGAGAGCGGCGTTTATTTGAGCATTTACGGTAGTGTATAAGTGTTTTGCAAGTGAAGGGAAGAAATTTTTTATTTGTATAATAATTGTAGATATATTTTTTGGTGTTTTAACATAGAAATGACATTATAATTGTACTGTATACTTTGAACCGATTTGTATTATGAATATCAGTGAAGTAGGGTTTTTTTTTTTTTTTTGGGGTTTTTTTTTTTATAAACGACCCCTGCACCCCCTCCCCCCTAAATCGGTGTAAACAAAACTAATGGAAGAAACTTCATTCTCAACACCTTCTATCAATGTTCTACTCACTAGAATTACCGTACATTTTCTCTAACCTGGTTGGGATCAATACGTTTTGGGATCAATGCTAACGGTACATTTATAGTGAAATTAAGGGCTGTTTATTTGAAAAAGTAATAAACGCTTCCCTTGAATAAACACCTCCCTTACACGTTTATTTTAATAATTAATATGGTATATTTGGTTTTATTGTATCACCATCAACCTAACAGCAAAGACAGATAATATTTCAAGTGTCAAGTGCAGTAGTTGTAGATCGAATGATGTGATGTGGTTATTTTAGGAAACAATTTTTAATTGGATAATGAAATTTGATCTTTTTTTTACATTGGTTTTAATATCAAGTTTTACAGAAATCTGTTAAGGAAATATATAATGAAAAATGGTCGTTTTTCATAATCTGGCATTTCAATATCAATTGTTTTTGACCACTGTAATTGTTTTCTTATACAATACAATTTTAAGCCATTTTGAGAGAAATATAACACTTTAAAAAAATAAATTTCATGCATTTTTTGTGTTTTTTGTTTTATTATTACAGTCAACTTCATCATTTTGCTGTCACACTTGTATATTTTTTTCAAACTGTAATATAAATAAATATTAGGATATACCAATAGGCCTAGACTTGAAAATACTGTACTTAGTATTGTTTGTTCCGCAAAGCATCCAGTCAATTGCTTTCTAAAGTCTGTGCTAAAAGTAATTAACAAATTAATAGGTACTTGTGTACGGATAACTGTTATTATGTTGATAAGAGATATTAATTATATTACTGTTAATCTTTAAATTTGTAAACACTACTGCCCGAAAATCAAGAAAAATAGAGAATACGTTTGTAAAATTGAGCGCTGCTAATAATTTTCTCATTTTAAAAGATTCCTGTTTGCTGCCCTCAAACAATTATTAGCGTACTGTCAGGTTCTACAGTTACTGTACAGTACAGTATTTGGAATTGGATTGGATTTATTCGGTGTACCAAGGATTTAACCCACCAAAGGCTGAAGAAGACCGTAATTTGATTGGGGTTCATGTGGTGATTGGACAGTACACTGGGAGACAATCCCCTACTCTTTTCCGTTATGGCACATGGGTCATAAATGCACACATCCAAATGAACAAAACACAAATTTTACAAATACATAATATATAAAACTAAATAACAAGTTGGTAAAATTTCATTAGTTTAACAAAAATAGATATAGTTTTAAAACCAGGCCTATCCTGGTGCGCAAAGCCATGTTAACTCGTTGACTCAACGAAGCTGTTTGCATCAGATCGAACAGAGCGGCGTAGCTAACTGGGTGGGAAGGGCCGCTAGACTAATTGCCGGGCCCTTTGGTGTGAAATGGGAATTCACTCAAATTCTAATAAAATTCTTCGTAAGAAGTGTTTCCTTTACCCCTAATCCTACAGACCTAGCTCGTAATATATACTAATGATAATCGGATTCGTAGGCTATTTTAAGAGGAACATATCGGTAGCTGTTAACTAATCAACAAATTGTTGACACATAAAATTTAGCAACTGTAGTGGCGGGTCAGGGAATTCGAAATGAGAGGCCAGGGAGGAAAAAGAGCACCTCATTCTTACCATGGTTTGGGCTAATTGTAAGACATTTTATGATTATGCACCTGTAGATGGCCGAAAATGGCACTAAAACAAACATAAATTTTAATATAATTTCATTTTTCCCATTTATTTTTATAATTTTGGGGGAAAAATACTGGAGGAGGAAGGAAGCGGGCCGGCTATGACACCTTCGATTTGAAATCAACACAGTAATCAATAATTATTCCCTCGAAAGACCGATTATTATTAATTGATGGGCCCGCTGGCCAATTTATTCTTTAAAAAAAATTGGAAATTATTTTTTTATTATTAATTTAGGTAGGCCTTAGGCCCCTAATAGCCCTGGCCCCCAGTGCTTTGCACTGGCTGCACTGCCCGTAGCTACGCCACTGCACCAAAAGCAAGCACACCGATCCACCAAAGAAATACCACTTAAATCGAAAATTAGAATCAGAGTAAATTAAACAATTAAACATATGCAGGGTTAATTAAGATCTGTGCTCGTCTTGTCCATGCATCTTTGATATGCATGTTGTACAAAATTGTGGTGTGTTTTGAAAAAAAAATAAAGCCGACTGAGTTAAGCTGCTTAAAATCAGCGGCACACAACAATTTGATTGTGTGAAATTGTTTCTTTAGGGTTATAGTTGCATGATTTACATATCCCTGAGTCTTGGTTAACCAGGATTCTTCCCTCTAAATCCAAAGAATTTGATCTAGCTTTGAATTCAATATTCACTGGTGATCTTCTCCGGGAAAATATTTCTTGCCTGATAAAATAGTGTTGATCGAGCGAAAAGCAATTAAGCCTAACAACAACTTCGCAAAATGGAGGTGATGGTGTTATGCCATTGTCAACAAGGAAGCTGTTACGTAATACTTATTTTAGCTCCGCTATTCTTTAAACTCAATATTTTCGATTTAAAGTTAAATTCGATTGATACACAAAAAGTTCTGTCTTTATGTTTATAGTTTGGTTTAATCAGTTGGCCTATACCATACATAATTATATTATTGAGTGTAGAAATAAATAATGATGAGAAAAGTAAAGAAAAACATTTATGCTCTGAAATTCAGTAATCTTCATTTAAATCTTTAATTATTGAAGGCACGCATTTTTATTAAATTAAAACGCGTGCCTTCAATAATCTTTAATTATTGAAGGCACGCATTTTAATTTAAAAAAAATAACCATAGTGTGTGTGAATAAAG